TTACTATAATCAAACATAAAGCTAAACATTCCTGTATCAGCTCTAATAGCACTATGCTTAACCCTTATATATATAATATATATAATATCTAAAATATCTAACTACAATATTATATATTCTGTTTTTAACAAAGAATTAATAACTTTAAGGTTCTTGATATTTCTACTAAAATCTAACTATAGCAACTTCAAAATAATCTTTGATTTGTTACTAATATTCTTTAGTATAGCTAACTACTTATAGATAGATCTAACAAACTTATATTTAACTTTAAAATTATACAACTTCTATAATATATTGGCATATTAATCTTAGCTAATTATAATATTTTGTGGTTTAACTGTTTTATAATAGATATCAACTACTAGAACCAATACTTAGTTAATATTCCAAATACTATACTTTTAGAAAACAACTTCAAAAAAACAATATACAGTATTCTACTTAGAACAATTATGTATTGCAGACAATAGTATACAAAACTTTACAATCTAACAAAAAAAAAGCAATCTCTTTAGTTTACCTATCTGGAAGATACAATTTATTTGACAAATTACATCATCTAATTCTTTCTTATTTTCAACTTCTGGAAGTTAATGCTTTTGTATATAATATTTTATCTATCAAAAAAAACTTAAACCTTGGCTACTTACCTATAATAATAATAATAATAAAGAAATCATTATTGGCAAAATTTACAAATATCTTTTAAACACAAACCAGTTTTCTATCTTACATTGAAATACAAATATTGATTTAGAACATAATTACTATTACCTTCTTCTAAATTTAAACTGTACACCATGTATCAAATGCCACCTTAACTTAAACAGAATCAAGCAAACATGCACAATTAACATTTTAGCAACTATTTGTATTAACTTTCTAGAAAAAAAAACTTTCAAACTTAAACTTAATGCTAATTATCTAAATCTTATTTATTTAATAACAATTAAACATTTATAAATTCTATATAACTATTCTACTATTAACATATTAAACTTTACTATCACAAAAATCTTTAAACCTAATAACTATTTAAACAAACTTAAAGAAATTTTTCAAAACAATTTGCTATATAAGAAATTTACTTTTTATACTGATAGATTAGTATCTAATATTAGAACTAAACAAAGCTTAATAGGTATTAGATAGGTCCAAGTTGATAGTAACAAACAAGATTTTATAAATTTTTAGCTAAAATTTATTTTTGACTATTCATTTATAAAGTAAAGCTCTTTTATATTTTATTTGCAATCTCAACTGTATCTTACAATACAACACTTTAAATTTATACTGACTCATAATCAGTTATTTTTCAGTTTTACAAATTCTCTATCCAACTTAATAATTCTAACAAACTCTTTAAATTTAATACATGGCCTTTATAACATATACTTTTTAATATTATTAAATTCTTTAATTTAAATATCAACTTTCACAAAATTCAAACTTATACAGATAACATTTTTAATAACATGTCTAACTTTTTAGCAAAACAACATATCTTCTTTTTGCTATTAAACTTTTAATATACAAATATTTATAATCTTTTTTATGAAAACAAAATCCTGTTAAGTTTCTTATCTAATACTTTATCAAAAATATTTACAAAGCTTACATACTGGCAATGTAGTTTTTACAAAAAAAAAACAATGAATAGTCTTATATAAATCACTATATAAATTGGCAATCAACATAGCTATATCTTAATTATAACCAAAAACTTTTATCTAATTTTGTTAGCTTCAAACTTAATCAATTTAATATCTTTAAATTAAAACTCTACTAAGTGAACTACCAACTTACTTTTCTCTTTACAACATATGCTCAATTATCTTTACAAATATTAACTATTTTTGATATAATCTTTCTGATTCTCACTTATATTAGCTAACTTGTCTCAACTTTTCTTTTATTACAAACATTATTAATTTATTAATTTAGTATATTTTATCTAAAGCAGATCTTAACTTATTTACTAGTTAGCTTTATGAACTTATTTACAAAATTCAAAAACATTCTTTATTTGACTATATACTATTTCAAGCAAACTCTTTTTATCTTGATCTTATTTTTAAAAGCCTTGTATCTAAAACCTTAATTATAACAATTTATAACTATAATATATCAACTAAGATAGTTTTACAAATTATTATTTAAACACTTCTTAATATTAATAATCAAATATATAACCAAATATAAAAACTATATTGCATTGACTTCTTTAACTATAAAAAGAATAATATTATTATATCTCTTTAAACTTATAACATTCACAACATTTCACAACAGATATAACAAACTAGACATTACAAAAGATTATATACAAACTATATATACTTATATTTATGTAGAATAGCAGATTAACTACACTTATGTTCTAATACTTGTTTACTAATTAAACAGACTATTAGAAAAATTAATATATAGTTAACATTCTGAATTAATCATAGCTTATCTTACAATTATATTTTAATACTACAAATCTAGATATGTTTTGACTACCATGGTTAGTTTAGGTTACAGATAAAGTCATCTAAGCTTTAATTATTGCATGTAGTTTTTATTTTGTATTTTATTTTATTTTTTTTTAACTATAAGCAGTCATACTAGTACTTTATTGAGTTTTTGGAATTACATTTGTAACTATATATATTTCTCTAATAACTAAGTCTAACATCACCTAGCCACCTTAGTAGTACCTAAGTGCAACCTGCTATATTACTTCGAACAGAAGTAAGCTACTTGTCTGACTACTTAAAGTTCATAATGAAAGGGTCTTCTTCCTTCTATGACAAGCTCTAAAATTGTCTTTATTCTACAAATGTTATAAGAATTGAATCTGGCAAATCAATTACATGCTCAAGAAGTTTATCGATTTTTTGTTGCCGGATATCAATTTCTTGAATATAATCAACCTCTTGAACATTATTTAATGATAAACGTTCTGTATTTAATACTTGTGAACGTTCTATATTTAATTGTTGTGAACTAAACTCTATATTTAAGGGTTGTGAACTAATCTCTGTATTTAATGGTTGCGAACTTATTAATATATTGGCACTACTCTCACTACTCTTATTCGCACTACTATCAATTTTCTTTTTAGAAAATTGACGTTGTTCATGTGCATTTTTTAATTGCTTACGTCGTTTGAATGTTGTTTTGGGACGCGCCATTGTTTTAATTTTTAATTATTTTTTTAATTCACAAGATAAAGGTACGATTTTTGAGTTAAGAACACAACATTTTTATGACAAATTTTTTTTTATTCTGTAGCTTTTACTTCGCTCTTTTCGATGACAACCTTTGTTTTGTAAAATTAATAAATTTATTATTGTCAAAATTCAATTAAAATCGGTTTGTCCTTTTGTAGAATCAACCACCTATAAAAATGATAAATCGAAAAACTGCCATTGTTACGTTACTCTAAGCAAGTTAGTATCTCTTTTTTCAAAAATTAAACTAGCAATTATTATGTTAGTTCGAAAGAAAACTGTACCGAAAGTTACTATTAGCCGCAGTAATTTCGGATTTTCATAAAAATTTTTATCATATGCACCCTAAATAATGTTTGATTTAATTAGTTTGTTGAACACCCTAACTTTACATGATCGCATACGTGACTGTGCAATTTTATATATCGTATTCCATCTAACCAAGTTGCTAAAAATTTATCTCCAATGATTTGAATATTTTCTAATCTAGGAATCCATTCAATTATATCTTCGTGTTTCATAGCTTTAAGTTGAAGTTCTTTAATGCAAGTATCGATATCCTTATTTTCAATTGTGTTGTCTTACAAGGGTCACATGTTTGACACCAACATAGCGATGTGTTATATCGCTTGCAATTTGCACATTTTCCATTCTTTTTATCTCTTTTAGAACTAAATTCATCAAATACTAACATGTATTCGTTCGTTACAGTGTTTTGAGTTAATCCATATACACGTTCATTCCCTAATTGAGCATGATTTTTAAACTTACAAAATATACAAAAATATAAATTGAATTCACTTCTTTTAAAATATTTGGAAAATTTGATGCTCTAGTTAATCTTTTAAGCTTCACCTTGCATGATGGTATACGTAACTGTGTATATCCTATTAGATTCATTTTGATAAAATAAATCAAATAATAATAAAATTATCTATTTCTGATTTCTGTAATAGATAATACATCATAATACTTCCTTTTATCTTATATAGAAATAAAAAAATAAATCTTTCTATTAGTACTTATTTTATTCATTTTCTTATCTTTACTAATTTTATTATTTTTTTTCTTTTAGTAGTTTCACTAGTTTCAACAGTTTCGACAGTTTTGCCAGTTTTGACAGTTTCACCAGTTTCGCCATTAAGCCATTTTCAATTTTTTTTTGGCAAAAGTCGAAAATAGTTTCGACTTTCGCCTTTTGCGAAACCTCTAAGTTTCGCCTAACAACACTATCTACGACTAATGAGAATAATCCTTCCGCAACCTATTATGTCCCTAACACCCAATCCAAGACCTAGCCAAAGGACACCTAATTCACGTAATAATAGGAGAAACAGAAATGGTAAGTAAAATTCTGCTAAAGTTAAAGGCAATTAACTATGCTAATGTAACTTTTAGTAAAACTGAAAAATCTCAATTTATTGCATTAATCTAGATGATCTGGACTATGATCCCGAAGAAGACGATGATTATAATGTTGATGATGGCCAACCCTGGAAAAATATTTCGAGAGAAAAGTTGTTCTGGTAAACGAAGTGAAATGTTGGATCAAGCCCATTAAGGGTGTCTCTTGAGGCGTATATTTTTTTATTTGTATTTTTTTATTTGCATATTGTCATTCCGGCAAAAAAATATATTAAATAAAGAAGAAGGGTCCCATGCCCTCACCAAAATTTATTTTTATATGATTGTGTAAATTGGTTAGGATTTTATTGGGTTAAAATAAGACTTCTACTTATTATGGTCTACATGATGTCTCGCTCTACACTTTCACATTTACTATGGGGATTCCACTAAAAGTTCTATTACAACAATATAGGCGATACGTTTTTTCGCCACAATAATTACCAGAACTACACCGTCATGCTTGAACCTAGAAAAAAAATCACAGCAGAAATTAAGTCTTTTCCTACGGTCGAAACAAGGCATACATAATTTATATTTTTTACACAGAAAATATATATAGTATACATAATTGAGAAAATAACGCCAACGTGACAAGATTTACTTGAAATTTTTCGAAAATTCTATTGTATTATGCAAATGTATAAAGTATATGAATTACATTCTTTGTAAAATTATTTTTTCGAATTTATACGGGTATTTTTATTGGTGAAAACTAGACCCCATTGTCAGACAATCGCATATGGCCTTCTCTTAATGTACCATAAAACATCATCGTATTTTTTCTTGTACGCGCTTTCCAGAACAATACTGCTTTAACACCAACTACTAACTTCGAAAAACCTTCCACAGTTCTTGGAATTTCAACACGTGCAAGTTCCATAGCAACAATTGTATCCTCGAAGAGAAATTTGGATGTTGATATTTTGAGTTGAAATTCATTTGATTGTAAACTATAAGCTTCGAGATCTTTGATCTATCTTTCACGTGAGAAGGTAGCGCAAAGAATAATGCTGTAAGGATGACTTTAGAGCAGTACTCTAATTTCTGCAGGTTACCTGTCCTTTTGCCATGTGTACTTATTGCTCCGTCTTCCTGCGCTAGAATTTCCGTACCTAATGACTTGAGAAATCCTTTTCTGTCTAATCTGGGGCCACTACGAGTAACAACATTTAAAATTTCTTTAAGTTTATCGTATGACCTGGACGCCACTTCTCAACATTTCAACCTCAAATCAGACTTTCCAAGGAAAGCGTTTCTTAGCATCGGGGTCCAGATATACGCATTAAATTCAGTTTCCGTTAATGATTGTGTAAGTACATCATTTTTGTACAGAATTAAGAAATGGAGGAAAAGGTTTTCGACATAAATGAGATCATTTGACGAGGTCGAATGATTGATTCTATTTTTATCTAAACACTCCTCTAATGACTTCAAATTATCAATGTTATCAAACTTTTCTAGATACTTTAAAACTTCCTCTTCGCAATCTAGTAAAATTTTATTGATAAATTTCCCCTCTGAAAAATATATAGAATCATCAGTATCTTGCACTTGATCTGCTATATATTTCTTGAACCCTTGAGGCAAATATTTAAGACATTCGACATTGTGAATATCAATGACACCAATGGATAAAGGACTTTTTGATATCTGACTTTTTTTCGTAGTTTTCATGATTGAGCGTGCAAATTCCATAACATCAACCTTATCGTATATTAGTTTGTGATTGGGAAGAATATGCATTTGATATGATTTCAACACTTCATCGGCTAGATCATAGTTAATATATTTTCTTCCTTTGGCTGCCGATTCAAAAGACATACTACTCAATGATTTCATATTGACGCTATATTGATCAGTTTGGTTGCTATCTGATCCATATGCAGATAACGTAGTCATTGGTGAGTCTTGTAGTTGTATTTCACTATTTCCAGAAGATGATATAATATCATAATCTGAGCCATTAATTATAGAATAAGAATTTCCCTGATCATTCAAAATACTTGGGAGATCCATTACAGGTACATTTGCCTAAATAGAGTGATATACTTTATATGAATCAATTTGCAAAGGCAGATACAGAATGTTATCTGATACAAAACTTCTTTTTACCTCAGGAAGCTGACTTGGGGTTTGCTCAACTGTCGTCCTCTTTTCTCGGATAACCTTAATATGCTTTTCTAGTTGTTGGTCCCTCGAGTATATATAGTCTAACTAGTAAATATATAGAAGCATGTCAGTGACAATTTCATAATTCGAATGTGGAAGAACAATTATACACACTTACATCCGAAGACTCTATCTGCTAGAGCTTTCTCTTCTTTTCTAGTTCTATATCACGGTTATTCCAAAAGTATTCACTTCCAACAAGTCTTTTTCATTCTTACAATAATAAAGCGTTGTTAGTTAGTATTTCAAATTATTTCAATAAATATATTAAAGCTACGAGTATTATTAAGAAAATAGCGATTGACTCTCGGTCAAAAACACACTGCAACTCACGGTTCAGTAGTGCCTCACTATTTTTGGACTACTGATGAATCACTACTGACTCTCGGTCATCACTGTGCAACTTCATGGTTCACTAGTGTGTAGCAACATTAACTCACGGTCTACCAAGTATCTTAGAAATTCTTGGCTCATCGGCAGTCCTTTTAAAAAAATAAATACAACCTTAAAGTCTTTCCATATCGACTTGGCCATTTCGCCTCTTGCCCCACCTTCATCAGAAATCTTTTTTACCAAATCGAAAAAAACGCTATGTTTGCACACTTTATTGGAAAAATCAGCAAAATTTGCTCTTCATTCGAGATATCCCAAAAGCGACCAGTTGTTTGGGTGAGGTTTGTTAAAATATTCCATCTTGTTCTACGAAAGGGTATAAAGAAAGCAATCAGATCATAAAGAACCATGAAATAGAAAGCTAGAAAAAAAATAACACCTTGGACATAGCGTTTTATATAGAATTAAGTAACGCGATCAATTGATTATACTGTTATAAGTCGCGATTCATCACGTGATTATGGTTATACATGTTGCACTGGGGCTTCCGATATCCTAATTAATCAAACCTATATTAGGTATAATAGTAAAAATTCATAGTACAGATTTTTTACCGTAACAAACAAATACATCATGTTTAGCCAATAGAATTTTAAGATCTGTAGATCTGTGCGTAACAAAAAAAAGTTACGATACGATAACGATAATGATATCATTTACGATAAGTATTATGAACTTAACGAATTTTTTATTTTTTTAACTTGTAATTATTAAAAACTAAAAACTTTTAACTTTATAGGAGTCAAGAACTTTAACGGCAGATAAATAATTCTTTAAAAAGATTATCCGCATTCTGTTCTAATTGCTGATCTGATTGAAGAACAAATTCGGTAGAATCTTGTTGGTAAGCAATTCTATTCTCATTCCAAATATCTTTTAGTTGTTTATTAGTAATTTTATATTCTTTTGTTCTAGTTGCTGAAAGATGCATTCTGGATTGTTGTGTATTATTGGACATATTTGGGTGAGTTTTTAAATCCCACTTGTTAAAGAGACCTTCGATCTGTTGTTGATGTACAATAATATACCATATTTTGTTTTTAATAAAATCATAGAGCAACAGATACTGATGAAGAAAGGCATTCATTTCTCTAATAAACATGTTGAATTCTTGAAAAAACAATTCATCAGTGAGTGCATTTTTAAGATCAAAATCATCGAATCTGTTTTGCACAATATCTGTTTCTAAAAATTGTGCATAACAAAGTTTTTTTAAGCTAGGAAATGTTGGCCAAGGTTTTTTGAATATGATATGCTAATAACTATGTGCAAATTGCTGGGTATTGTTTCCATCAAGTCGACACATACTTAAAGGAAGATGAAGCCAACAATCTAGTCATTTTTGATGTAATTCAAGTCCTTTTTGTATTCCTTTTTCTAACTTTTGAACTAATAATTTAACACCTGAATTGTTCATAATTTCCATACTTTGTAAAAGTTCTTCATCAAAAAATTGATAAAGATTTTTCAAGAAATATATAAGTTTATATGTTGAACTAAGAACAAAATCTGGTATTTGATGTGCGTGATGACCTGTGGGCAAACACTGTAACAAATTATCTGGTTGTACAATTCTTAATTGGGGATCATAACCGACAAGAAATTCTGCAAATGGACAGTAAAATTCTTGACTGAATTTAACTAAACATTGAACTTCAATGTTTAGTTCAAAATCATTTAACCAAACTTGAAATAGTTTCTATTTTTCGATATAGGATTTCAGAACCTTTTTTAAAGTTTTGAGTTTCAGAAGAAACCACGAAACAAATTCGACATGAACTTTATGTCTCTCAAGGTATTGTTCTGCGGCAATTAATTCATATTGCCACCTTGACCATAGAGGATATTGATATTTCATTAACTTATAATTAAATCGTGCCTTATAAAGGTTTTGGATTGTTTCGCTTCTTATATTTAGTGATGAATCCTTATCACTTTGGTTATATCTGTTATGTAACATCCATGCCAAATAAAGAAGATTAAACAAATGACATGTTTTTGAAAACCCAGTACTTGTTGGAAGCTTACCAAAAGCTTTTTCTTCAAAATTATTTAAAATTAGATGTAACACATGTAATCCATAGGGAATTCGGGTGCAATTCTTTTGGCTAATTGACTGAATTTAACTACAGCACCTCTGACATGGCCACTCATATAATTCGTATTATCAGAAAGAAAGATAAGGCATCGCATAGTATCAAGTTTGTATTTTTTACATAACTCATAAAGAGCCTAGCTAACTGTATTGGAATTATACTGTCAAAGATCTTTTGTTTCTAGAAGTATGACATTTGGCATATTTTTTTCTGAATTCCAAAACATAAAGTATTTTAATAATATCTTTTTTTCACCATGATCTGATTTATCTGCCATGACTCCAAATGCAAAATGGACTGACCAATTAGCTTGTTGAAATATATTCCTTATATGCAATTCTGATACTTCACAGTGCTAATGGCTGATAGTATTTATACAAAGCCAAAATTGTGTTTCATCCCCAGTTAAAAAATTAAAAATTATCTTTATACTTTCTGCTGCAGTGTTAAAGGATATTTGGCCAATTTGAGAAACTTGTATGATAAGTTTAATAAAATCTGAATTATATTCTTTTTTATTTTGTTTAATTAAATTTCTAATTATAGCCTTCAAATCATTGTCTTTTAATTCTGGAGGGCATTTGGCTACTGCATAAATTCGAGATATATGATGATGATGCTTATGCTTGAACTGTACAATAGAACCATTAAGTTGCCAAACTTTATGAGTTATACAGTCTTTAGATTGTTGCAATTTTTTATTGTCTTTTTTGAGTTGTTTGTTTTGATTATTTAATAATTCAAGGGATTTTCCAGGTTTGTAAAGAGAATCAGATATATATTGGAATGCTTTTTTTTGTAAGTAAGGTGATATAATGTGATCTTCATTTTTTCTATGTGGGTATCTTATTGTACATAAAAGATGAGATACTGATTTGAGATCCATTTCAGAAATGTCTTTAAGAGTATTAACTATCGTATTATATGCAGTAGAAGGATTGGAATTAGCAGCATTCGAGACATCAAGTTTCTGATTATTGGTATTACTCATGTTATTAATATTTCCTTGGCACTGATTCGGCTTATACTTTCTAGCAAGTAATTTTTAAATGTTTTTTAAATGAAGTTTACATTTTGAAGGTTTGGGCATTGTCAAATAAACAAGATATAAAATTTTTTTTAAAAATTACATTTGACATGTTTTTAAATTTAATTAACAAAAGCTAATTAGAAACAAACATTTATATTATTTAGTTAGAATGCATATAACGAACAAAAACAAAATCTCAAAAGAGTTTAAAAACTTATGCCGCAATCAAAATACAATATGATGAAAAAATTTTAAAATATGACAAATGCTTGCTTATTTTTTCAGATATAGCACATACCAATAACAAAAGGCAGAATCATAAAAATACTTATTGTTAAAATTTGCTAGAAAACTACAAGCTCAATTTTAGTTACAAAGCCAATTCATAACAAATGCTTGCTCATGTTTATCATTATAGTTAGATTATAGATTAAAACGAATAAAACTTTTTTAAAAAGGTTTAGCTTCAAAATTAGATCGATTTCTAGCTAATTTATAACAAACACTTGTACATTGTTTTGTTAGTTCACGGTGCATAACACAGGTCGAACAAATGAATAAAGGGTGAATAATAAGTAAATAACAGAAAAAAAACTGCCATTATTCTATCCTATATCTGCCAAATAACAGCAGCATAACAGCAGCATAACAGCAGCATAACAGCAGAATAATAGTAAAATAACAGGAGGTTTGTCAATATGAGTAACATAATAGTAA